TATCTTGACAACATGGATCGAAACAATTAATTTTTCGCTTAAGATGGAAAGAAAGATTAAGAATTGTAGACAAATTATATATGATAATTAGAAATTTTGCTACAAACAGGGAATTTTGAATTAATTATTGATAAAATTATCGCAGAATTCGTTCATCGAAATCGTTCTATTTACTCAGTTGTGCGATTTTTTTCATTTGATATATTTTTTTTTGTTATATCATTTAACATTTTCAATACTTTCAGCTGCAAGGATTTATAGTATTTTTCCCCAATCTTATCCGGAATGTAATACATTCGTAATTTTTCATGTTCTTCAACTTCTGTAATTATATTCAGACTTTCAGTCAAGGGAGGAGGGAGGCAAAAATTCATCTTCAAACAATATTTATTAAAATATAATATATGTGTATATATAATTATGTTAAAGCTAATTTTTGAGGATCTTCAGAGAATTTTCTTAATACTTCTTCTTTCAGCTTCTTTTCGACAAAAATAATTTTGATAAATTATTTTTTATCAAAATTTAAGAATAATGTAAGTCCTCCTTTTATAAATCCACGCCTGTAGTTATTAAGCATTTAATATTAGATCTTATTTATCAAAATATATTTAATGAGATGCATTCAACCTGTAACTGAATTTGAAGGGATTTAAATACGTAAATCGAAATACTCAAATTTGATGCTTTGAAGTTTCTTAGAGCGAGCTGGATTTCACGTTTGAATTGTTGTTTGAAAAGTTTGAGGTATCTTGTAAAAAAATCACGTTGCAGTACGTGTATAAATTTCATCTCGAAGTTTGCGACAAGTATATATTCGAAGCAAGTGCACACTCACAGATTCGGAGGTTGGCGATTCAAGGCTTCCTCCATGTGTGCTGGAAACATAAAAATCGCTTACCGAAACTCTCCTTGACCGTCCGCTCAATGAATAATCAAAATGAATACAAAATGAATATTGTTTTAAATATCTTAATGTTTCGTAAGGACTTTTAGGAACAAATATTATTTTTAGCAATTTTTACAAAATTAACTTTGTGTATGAAAACAATTATCAATTAAGACTAATGATTATGTGATCCTTCTTATAAGATATATTCCTGATTTATAATTTATAAAATTGTCTTTTTTTTTGGATTCTCGATAAAAAAACCTGGAATAACGATAAAGTAACATCTGGTTAAGAAAAATTTAAAGAGAAATTATATAATAATCGAGCTCTCGAAGCTGAATATCCTGTTTGACAAAAAAGCTGACATTCAAGTTTCTTATAAAGTCTTACAAACATCCTGCTTCGTATGGCTTTTCAAATTAATTCCGAGGAGTTAGATTAGCGATGAATGAATTTATTGATGTAATTGTTACAAGTTGATATGGCAACGCGAGTTTTTCCGGTTTAAGCCAAGAGCTGGCTTTCTACCACGAAAATATGGCAGTGTGAAATTAGTTGAATAAATTTGAACATCGGTAATTTTAGTATTAACATTAGCAGTGAACAATATATACTTGTTGTAAAATGTGACAGACTTTTGTTATCAATAAATTATAAATAAATTAGAAATATTTAATGTTGATTTGTTTTTCAAGGCTTCATTAATCGACTACAATGGCAACGAGTAAAAGTAAGAAGAAGGTTGGAACGAAGACAAATGGAAAAAATAATGGAAAAGGTACTAAAGGTGGTAATGGCGGCAAAAATAAAGGATCAAAGAAATCAAAAAGAAGCGGCGGAAAAACACGATTTGCCATGGACATCTTTAATGAGGAAGTGATGGAAAACGCTTATTACACATGTCATAACATTATGGATGTGCTAAAATGTCGAGGTTTCCCGTGGCCAGAGGTTCAGAAGAAAAAAGGAAAGAGGAAGAAATAAATAATCAAATATCTATATGTAAAACTATACTTTTAACACGTATTGGAAATAGTTCAATGTAATATAAATATCCATTCATATAAATTATGTACTAAATAAGATGTTAATGTATATCTCTATTTTACTTTAATTTCAGTATCAATACTTAACATTTCTTGTAAGAATTAACGTTTGAATTACTTTAGTATAAAATGTAATTTATCTTATTAAAGCTTATCTTATTAAAACTATCTAATTAAACCTTTATATTTTTTTATGTTTTTATGAAAATATAAATTAGTTTCACAAATTTTGCGCACTCATTATATACAAAACTAAAAATAAATTTTTGTAACTCAGTGAAATTTTGTCTTCATATTTACATAAAAAACAAGATATCAATTTTTATAGTATATTAAACTGATAGAAGAAAAACATGTGACTTTTATTCATCAGTTGATGCGAGATGATTGCAGTAATCCTTTACATCGAATTCAAAATCTTCATTATCCGCTTTAACTGTCCCGTTAAAGACGCAATGCACCGTTACTGTCTCAGTATATGATAACTTAGGCAGAAGCTGTTAGAGAACAACAAGGTTAATAAAAGTTACCGCATAATAGAAAATTATTATTGTTGTTGTAACGCTTACTTTTGGTGTAAGCAAAAAATATTGGGAGCTTCCTGGCCTTCCTGTCATTTTGACGAGTAAATCAAAGACTCGTCTCTCGTTCACCGCATCCATGCCCTAATAAAATTACAAAGAAAAATTTAAATTGCAAAAAATAACGAATAATATATTACAAATTACATATGTAATACATTATATAAATATAGAATACTTGCTATTAGTGATTAGCATAAGCCGGATATCTTGTACCTGATTAATTTCATCCACACAGCGAAATGGCACACGCGATAATTCTTGCAGCGCTATCATGTAAATGGCAGTAGTTACGGTTCTTTCCCCACCACTCTGAAAATGCCTTGTTAATTCTTGCAACTCGTCCGCATCTCGGAATTTTACTTTGATCTTTAGTCCGTACTGATCAAAATCCAACTAAAAATATTGTTATTGGTTATTGAGAACAATGAAAAAATTTTTATTTTGTATGTACATCATGTTTACTTACGATATTTTCACCATGTGAGAGCGTAACTTCGCCAGCACAGTCCATTGCAAAAAAATAAGAACTAAAATTCGCATTAATTTTTTCAATCAGTTGCTGCAATGGTTGTAACCACTTTTCTTTTAATGTTTCAATCTCCTTTGTCATTTGCTCTAGTAAAATACTCTTCTTTTTGATAAATTCAGTTAAGTCGAGAATATTATTTTGCATTTCTTCATATTCACGCAGTATCTGAAAATATAAAAGAACTCAATTATTCAATTTTTTTGTTGTATCAATGCAGTATTAAAAAATAATATTCTCCATCATGACATATATACATTCTCAGCGTCCACATTTTGTGCCATACAAAAAACTTTTGCTTGAGCAATATTTAATTCATTATTTATTTCAGCTATAGTAGCTGGTAATTTTTCAAAGGCTTTATTGAAAGCTTTAAACATGTCATCTTGTGGATTAAGATTATTTGTGCTTGTCAATGCTTCCTTATATAATCTTTCAGCTTCTTTCTTTAAAGGTTGGAATTCTTCATCATGTCTTTTAAATATTCTCTCTGCTGTTATAAACTTATCCTTTAATTCGTCGGCTTCAGTCTCTTTAAACAATAAAGTTTGTTGTAATAACGTTATTGCAAATTTGACTTCTACGTTACTTGTATTGCAATTGAAACATTCTTGCAAAATTCCATTATATTCTTTATACAGTTTTAATTGTTTCTTTATAATGGCCTGTAAACAATTAATTGAACATAAATGCAGATTTTATTGGACAATTTTTAAAAAATAGCATATTACATTGTTAAAAAACAAACCTTAATCTCGTTGGTATATGTTGCTTTTATATCATCAATATTCATCCGGCCCATTTCCAACTGTTTAAGTTTATCTTCAGCTATGTGTATTCTACCTTTTAATGCTTGAATATGCTGAACATTTTGTTGACATTTATTTCTGTTGGCTCTATATTCATCTAATGTTTTCGTTTTCAAATGTAATTTTTCTTCTATTTCTTTAATATTTATCGAAATTTTATTTTTCTTTTCTTGCAAATTTTGTAATCTATAAAATAATCAATATATCAATATATTAATTCATTATAATTTATTTATTTTCTTCAATTAAAATACCGTTCTTGAAGATTCTGTAGTTTAGATTTGTCCAGAACAATAGATAACATTCCATTTCCATGAACTCGTGATATTCTGGTCGATGTTTCGTGCGTATACTTAGATGTATTTACAGAATATACATTATTTTCTATAAAGAAAATTTTATTGAATTTAAGGAAAATTTATAATTTTATTTTTAGAAATATACACTTACCACTAAAGTAACAATTTAAGTTGCGAGGTATGTAATTTGTATTATTCTCGATTTCATTAGTCCCGACAGGGATATTATTTAAACGATACATCGAAACTAAATATTTCAGTATGGAGGGCGGTACTTCGATAAGCTCTACTAAATAATGCTTGAAGCCAAATTTTTGTATGTTTTCTATCGGGATATTCGGTTGCAATGTGATTCTTTTCATTGGATCAGAATGTACAACATTAACTTTCAGTTTTTGTTGTTCCCTCAAATACTTAAGTAAAAGATTCATGTCTCTTTTATCTTCACATGTGAATGCAATTAAATCTCGAAACGGTATTATGTTTTCTAAATATTTGGCATATGAAGCCTCTTTTACATTAATATTGAGTAACATTGGCAGATGCACTGTTGCTGAAAATTTGTCTCGATTCTCTTTTAACCAAAGTACAGCTTTGTATGCGTTCACATCCTTTTGTTTCAGCAATTCTAATCGCTTTACATCAATATTAATTGTTTGGAGTTCCGCTTGCACAGCTACAATCAATAATTTTAAGTAACATATTTAATAACATATTAATAAGAATAATGATTAATATTAAAAATATAATATAATATAGGTATTTGTGTTTAAGCATATACCTCTCATTTCACGACTAATGTTTTCGTCCTCATGCTTCAATGTGATAATTTTATTAGTGAGATTCTTAATTCCTTTTCTATGCTCCTCTATATTAGATGCTATATTTTGCATTTGTTCCATTAAACTTTCCTCTGAAATATATAACATTTTATTATCGTAGGATGACGCGTCCGTCTATGTGAAAGTAATTAACTCAACAAGTTTTGAGTTCAATCTCATATGCTTTAATTTATATATTAATTAAAAAATTAAACATTTAATATACTCATATTTGTTAAAATTAAGTCAAATTAATAATTACCTGATCCCATTTCATTAATCGTAAGAGAAAAATCATTCTCAAGTTTCGATTTCTGTTGTTGTGCAAATTTAATATCTTGATCTCGAGTCTGTTCTGCCTGAATGTTTCGAGAACATATGTTTTCTGCATCCTTGATGCTGTTTTCAGAATTAAAAATCTCATTCATGATGTTTCTTAATTTCGCATTCTTAGCATTAACTTTATTGTTCTGAAAATACACAAAAAATTTCAAAATATTAATGTAATATGTAATTCTTGTAACAACATTCAAATGTAAAGAAGTTGAACATTTTAAGTATAATAGAAAAATTCTGTATTATTTCGCGATTTTCACATTCTTTAAATAACAATGTGCCATTAGTACACAGCCATTATTTTTTATAGAATGCCTCTCCTAAGCCTCATCGAGCGTTTAGATTTACCATAAACGTTAAGATTTCTTGTTGTTGAATGCACGCTGATTTGCAGATCTTTATAAATTAATTTTTCATTATTATGAAAATTGCAAACTAATACAGAATTTTAACCTGTTCTGTTTCGAGTATTATCACAAAAATATATTACTGGACATAATGTCCTGTAACATTAATAATATCATAATAAAGTATTTTTTAAATATTTTTATTTTATGTGCTATACTCACATGATCCTTTAAAGAATTTTTTAACGTTGTCATTTCAATCTTTATATTTTCAATCTTTTTATTTAACGGTTGCAGTTTTTTGTCTATTAATTGCATTTCTTTTGCTGCCTTATCTCTGGCTTTCTTTGACTATACAAATATATGCAAAAGGATCAATAATAAAAAAGTAGCAATAAAGAAAAACATTTAACATTTTACAAAATTAATTTGATGTACCTCTACTAATTTCCTCCGCATTTGATCATATAGCATCCATGCCTTCTTTTGCTTCAGTGTTACAATTTTTTTCTTTATCAACTTTTTTTCTTTTATTGTTGCAACAGTTTGTTGTAGTCCATCACGTCTCTGAGTTTTAGATTCCAATAATCGTTTTGTATTGGTTATATCACCTTCCAATTTCTTAAAATTGATTCTTTGATCCTTCAATTTTAGATGATACTCAAGAAGCTTTGGGTCTCCGACAGATCTTTCTGTATTTTCTAACAATGCTTGAGCATCCATTTTTGAGAAATCTTGTACTTTATCTTGCGGCAAAAATTGACAAAGATTGTTGACCTGCAAAAAATAAGTTTAAAGTAATAAAGACATTAAGAGAACACATTTTATGTGTTTAGTCAGAAACTATTTAAATATAAATCAGAACTGTTCTATATGCTTCTTGATACATTTTATCCCAAGACATTAAAGAAAGGTTATAATACAAATTAAAAAAATTTTATGCCAAAAATATTTAATAGAAAATTGATAAATCTAATCTGGAGATTCTTAAGAAGAAAAAACTAGAAATGTAAATTAAGATACATACTTGAATATTAAGCTTGGATGTGAATTCCTGTATATTTTTGGAATTTGCATGATTACCATTAATCATCCATATGGACTTTCCTTCTTTGGTAAATATCCTAGTTATTATAGAATCCTGTTTGAAGCTATTTTTCAGATGAATTTCGATTTTTGCCGAATCCCGTCCATATTTCACATATTCTCCTATGTGA